AATGTGAACGTTGTCAGAGGAAATCATGATATAAATGATTAGATATTCCTGAAATGTAGCACATATCACTTTGGATTTGATATTCGTACTATATCATTGTAACAAATACTTTAAAGTAACTCATAATTGTCTCCTGACTTTCAGTACAAAAATGAGCTTTGGAAGGAGCATCTTGTGCAAGAGTATTTAAAAAAATATTAAATATTACTTGTTAGTGTGAAAATGAAATTCCAATATCTAATTTAGTGATATTGCATATTACTGCCTACCATAGCAAACGCCTCAATGCTGCGCATGAGACTGTCAAGGTTCAAGGTTCTTTATTTGTCAAACGAACATAGCTACAGTGTAGTTATGTCGATGAAAATCTTGTGTCACAGGCTTCTCCAACAGTGCAACACAATAACACAGATAAACAGAAAAATATAGTGCAAGTAAATAGTAAATAGTAAATACAAGAAGAAAAATAGTTTAAAAAAGTGAAATAGTGCAATAAGAGTCTATATGCAAGTAATTGAAATATGATATATTAGGTAAATAGATAAATCATTTTTAAGTAGCAGATTAATATTATGGATGTTGTTAAAGCAGTTCAGGTGTTTAACAGTCTTATCGCCTGTGGTATGAAACCGTCTCTGAATCTGGTGGTTTTAGTCCGGATGCTGCTGTAACACCTGCCAGACGGCAGCAGACTGAACAGTATGTGGCTGGGGTGATGGGGGTCTTTTATAATCCGGAGGGATTTCTTCCTGAGCCGCTGGGAGCAAAGATGGCCATGGATGGCAGCTCCGTCCTGGTGATGATCTGTGCAGTTTTCACCACCCTCTGTAAAGCCTTACGATTGAGGGCGTTGCAGCTGCCGTACCAGGCCGTGATGCAGCCAGTCAGGATGCTCTCTATGGTGCACCTGTAGAAGGTCAGGATGCTCTCCATGGTGCACCTGTAGAAGGTCAGGATACTCTCTATGGTGCACCTGTAGAAGGTCAGGATACTCTCTATGGTGCACCTGTAGAAGGTCAGGATGCTCTCCATGGTGCACCTGTAGAAGGTCAGGATACTCTCTATGGTGCACCTGTAGAAGGTCAGGATCCTCTCTATGGTGCACCTGTAGAAGGTCAGGATACTCTCTATGGTGCACCTGTAGAAGTTGCAGAGTATCCTGGAGTCCATGTTGAACCTCCTCAGCCTGCGGAGGAAGAAGAGCCGCTGTCAAGCTTTTTTGGTGATGGTGGTGGTGTGAAGAGTCCATGGGTGTTTCTCAATCTTGAGTACGCTTGCTTGGTAGCACATGTCTTCCGAGTCACTTGCTTCAGAAGCGAGGCAAGAATACTTCCTGCCATTCGGAAAACGAAGAGTGGAACAGGCTAGCAAGTGTGCAGGTGTGCGTCATATGAGAGGCCCCGCCTTACATTTTCCGCCACAGATTTGGGGAAATTGGTCCGTGCGCAAAGCATTGTGGGGATTTTAAGACCGCTGAGTCTACACATGTGCAGCCTCGAAATTTCTCGCTACGAAGTACACCGGGCACGGTAGAATTCCAAGTATGCTGGACATTGGAACAGTCCTTCGGCGGCACTCGATGACGTAGTATGCTTGAAATAGTGGCTCTGGAGCAGCTTTACTCGACATTGAGAAACAACCCATGTCAGGTCCTCAGTGATGTGGACACCGAGGAACCTGAAGTTGCTGACTGTCTCCACTGTAGTCCCGTTGATGGCGATGGGGGCGTGTCCCTCTCCCTGCTGCTTCCTGTGATCCACAATCAGCTCCTTTGTTTTGCTGACGTTGAGATGGAGGTTGTTATCCTGGCACCAAGATGTCAGGTTTGCGACCTCCTCTCTGTACGCCGTCTCGTCGCCGTCGGTGATCTGGCCGATGACGGTCGTGTCGTCAGCAAACTTCACGATGGTGTTGGAGCTGTGTGTGGCCACGCAGTCGTGTGTGAACAGGGAGTAGAGGAGAGGGCTGAGCACGCAGCCTTGAGGGGCTCCGGTGTTGAGGATCAGGGTGGAGGATGTGATGTTTCCCACCCGCACTGCCTGGGGTCTGCCCGTCAGGAAGTTCAGGATCCAGTCACAGAGGGCGCTGTTGAGCCCGAGGTCTCTGAGCTTGATGACCAGCTTGGAGGGCACAATGGTATTGAATGCTGAACTGTAGTCAATGAACAGCATTCTCACATATGTGTTCCTCTGGTCCAGGTGTGAGAGGGCAGTGTGGATGGTGTGGGCTATGGCGTCTTCTGTGGACCTGTTTGCTCTGTAGGCAAACTGCAGGGGGTCCAGAGAGTCAGGGAGGGAGGAGGTGATGAAGGTTTTGACTAACCGCTCAAAGCACTTCATTATGATGGAAGTGAGTGCGGACCTGTTGAAGATATCTGTGAACACCTCTGCCAGCTGAACTGCACACACCCTGAGAACACGGCCAGGGATGCCATCAGGTCCAGGAGCCTTGTGTGGGTTAACCCTTTTAAAGGATTTGCACACATCTGCCCTGTTTAAAACAAAAGGGCCGGGCTCCTGATCCTTCTGTGCCTCCACAGCCTGGCTGCTCTCAAAACGTGCAAAAAAGCTGTTCAGCTCATCTGGGAGAGATGCGCACGCAGACACTCCCGCAGCACCCCCCGCTGCTCCTTTGTAGTCTGTCATTGTTCTTAGTCCCGCCCACATGTTCCAGGTGTTACAGCCTTTGAAGTCAGACTCCACCTTGTCTTTGTACTGTCTCTTTGCATTGTTAATTGCTCTCCGGAGTTCATACCTAGATTTCCTGAACTCCTCCAAATCTCCAGCTCTGTGCGCGATATTGCGCGCTTTCAACTTGCCACACACCTCGCCGTTTATCCAGGGCTTTTGATTCGGGAATGTCCGTACTGAAACCTTCGGTACCACGTCATCGATGCATTTCCCAATGTAGCAGATGACAGTGTCCGTGTGTGTGTTGATGTTGTTGTCCTCAAACACACTCCACTCCGTAGATGCAAAGCAATCCTGCAGAGCTGAGTCTGACTCCTCACTCCATCGTTGTAGTGTCTTTGTTACCGGTCTGTCCCTTTTAAGTTTCTGCTTGTAAGCAGGCAGCAGCAGCAGTGAGATGTGGTCTGATTTGCCGAAGGGAGGGCGAGGGAGAGCCTTATATCCATGTCGAAAAGGGGAATAAACATGGTCCAGTATGTTTTCCCCGCGCGTCGGGCAGCTGATGTGTTGGTAGTACTTCGGCAGGACCTTCTTCATGTTAGCGGTGTTAAAATCCCCAGCCATAATGAACGCCGCCTCTGGCCGTGAAGTCTCCGTACTGTCGATTATCCCAAACAGCTGATCGAGTGCCGTGTTGTTGTCGGATAGCGGCGGAATATACACTGCTGTTATCACAACAGATGTGAATTCCCTCGGCAGATAAAAGGCCCGGCATGAGATCATGAGGTGCTCTAAATGAGCAGAACAGTCCGAAGAAATAATCCTCACATCTGTGCACCAGTCATTACACACACACCGCCTCCTTTACTTTTCCCCGAGTTAGCAGTCCGGTCCTGACGAAAAATAGTGAATCCGTCAGGAACAATGGCGGAGTCCGGGATTGCGGGGTTTAGCCAAGTCTCAGTGAGAATGAACACGTTACAGTTCTTAATGTCCCGTTGAAAAGCAATCCGACTTCTGAGTTCATCTAGCTTATTTTCAATGGATTGAACATTAGCCAGAAGAATACTCGGAAGAGGGGGTCGGTTTCCTCGTTTCCTCAGTCTGACCAGCAGCCCGGCGCGAGACCCCCGCTTGGTCTTCTTCTTGCGTCTCTCAGGTAGGACAGCAACAGGTAGCCATGGCGGATCTCCATTGTGTGTCGGTGGGTTATTGTCCACAAGGTTTCTGATGTGAAGAAGTTCCTCTTTGCTATATTGTATAGCAGAGTTGGTGCGGTCGGCTTGCATGTTGCGAACCATGTTAAAAGCAAAACGGCAAAAAGTAAATAAACACTGAAAAACTATGAAGAAGGGCAAAGTTGGAGAGGAGCCAAAAGACAATGCGGCCATCTTCACCGGCGCATTTATTATAGGTCTTATTTAAATAAGATTGTATTCATCTATATACTTAACTTGACATATTTCTTCATTTATTTATTTTCTTTCCTCCCAGGTAGCCTTGAATAAATCTGCCAGAATGTCAAATATCTCTTATGAATAAATAAACTTTATAAACCATATTTAAGGTCATATGAATCATATGAAACTCTTAAAATGCCTGCCTTTACAACATTAAGTATTTAACGTAATATTGCCTAACCCTGCGATTTATCCGTATATGCTTCAAAATTAGCACCATATCTGTATATAATTATACAAACTTGTCTGTAACTTTCCTCACATGTGCAACAACTTTAATAAGATAAGATTGACTTTATTGATCCCAATTTGGGATTTCTTTTCATCACAGCATTCTAAAACAAGGCATTGCACATAATGTGAAAACAAATAAACATCTGAAAATAGAAAATAAAATTATGTTGACAGAAATCTGTAGATTATCCGTCTGTACTGTCACCTAACATGTGAATATACTTTGACCTCAACTCTTTGCACTTCCTGGTTGGATGCTAACTGCATTTCATGTGCAATGACAATGAAGTTGAATCTAATCTAATCTAATGCAGCGACATAAACATATCCAGTAGTGAATTCCCATATGATGGATGTTTTCCTAAAGTGAAAATAGATACAAGGGACCTCATTTATCCTGAATCTCCTCCATGTGCATTCTCATTGGTACAAGCAGAAAGTAATCACCACTGTGTAATGCACCAACCCTACTGCTCTGTTAATATCACTGTCTTTGGTGCATACTGATACATGTTCTGCTCTGGTGAGTGTGTGTGTGATGAATGTGTGTGTGTGTTGTGCCTGGGGGTGTGTGTGTGTGTGTGTGTGTGTGTGTGTGTGTGTGTGTGTGTGTGTGTGTGTGTGTGTGTGTGTGTGTGTGTGTGTGTGTGTGTGTGTGTGTGTGTGTGTCTCTTTAGACGATGTGTTGGCCAGGGATGCCGGGGAGTGTGTGATCTGTCTAGAGGAACTGCAGCAAGGGGACACCATAGCCAGACTGCCTTGCCTCTGCATCTACCACAAAAGGTGACACACACACACGTACACACACACACAAATTTGAATTGCTGCCGAATATATAATTTTGCACTTCTTCTAATTAAATCCACTCACTGCACTCCAATAAAGACGTTCCTAAAAGATGACCAGTAGTGGTTGCATTTGATATAGAGGTTATTAATATTATACGGTTGGACAGTAGATTGGTGCAGTGATGACGTATTTTCGTAGGCCGAGCCGGAGGTTAGCAATACAAGGGCTCCGTCCACTAAAATAAATGACATTTCTCCATTGGAATTTTTACATATTGCAGAAAATAAGATCTGTGGAAAACACATTTTAAGGATTTGTTCACTTTTTGTTTAGCAGGATAATCTCCACATATTAACACATGTTGTTTGACATGTGTGTGTGGGTGTGTGTGTGTGTGTCTGTGTGTGTTTGTGTGCAGCTGTATAGACTCGTGGTTTGAGATCAATCGGTCCTGCCCTGAACATCCCTCTGACTGACCTGCAGGCCCATTATGAATACTGTTCAAGGTGAGACACACACACACACACACACACACACACACACACACACACACACACACACACACACACACACACACACACAATTCATATATAATTTCCTAAATTGGGATTATTAAAGTATATATCTATCTATCTATTTGGCTTTTGGCTTTGTATTCAAATTCCAGTGTGGCCCATCTACTGTCTTCTTCCATTGATATGATGTTAGCAATGGCTGTTTTTATGACACCTAAAAGCTTCAGACATAAAACGTAGTTCTTGAATTATTGTATTCCATTTATATTTGTCATTAAATACATTTCAAAAGAATTGTTCTCTGTGATGGTCCAAGACTTTATTTTCCATGAACCAGTCTTTAAACACTGCCAGATCCCATACCGTGTTCCCTTTACTGTTTACTTCCTGTCTGTCTTCCTCTGCTGTTCCCTTTAGTGTTTACTTCCTGTATGTCTTCCTCTGCTGTTCCCTTTACTGTTTACTTCCTGTATGTCTTCTTCTGCTGTTCCTGTTAGTATTTACTTCCTGTCTGTCTTCCTCTGCTGTTCCCTTTACTGTTTACTTCCTGTATGTCTTCTTCTGCTGTTCCTGTTAGTATTTACTTCCTGTCTGTCTTCCTCTGCTGTTCCCTTTACTGTTTACTTCCTGTATGTCTTCTTTTGCTGTTCCCTTTAGTGTTTACTTCCTGTCTGTCTTCTGCTGCTGTTCCCTTTAGTGTTTACTTCCTGTCTGTCTTCTTCTACTGTTCCTGTTAGTATTTACTTCCTGTCTGTCTTCCTCTGCTGTTCCCTTTACTGTTTACTTCCTGTATGTCTTCTTCTGCTGTTCCCTTTAGTGTTTACTTCCTGTCTGTCTTCTTCTGCTGTTCCCTTTAGTGTTTACTTCCTGTCAGTCTTCTTCTGCAATTCCCTTTAGCAGCGGTGGGTTATCGAGTATTATCAACCTCTAAAATGTCCAAATTGACCAATCAGAATCGAGTATTCAACTAGGCTGTGTAATATGTATTAATATGTTGCTTGAAGATAATATACTGTATATATAATATAAACCATATACTCTATAACTTCAACTACAGTATCATTTCATTTTCTAAATATCTGTGTGTCTCTGTCTCTGTCTCCAGGACATCTCGTGGTTGTGCCATGGATATCTGGACACAGACACAACCAAATCTGATGAACCAATCTTCACTTCCTTACCCTGACAGAATCCATCACCTTAACCAAGATACTTACTCCTTGTCAATGAACCCAACAAACGTGAACCATCGTACATGAAAGGGCCCTTCCTGTCGTCGGCTGAAGAGAATGCTCCCCCCCCCCCCCCCCCCCCCCTGTCCTCCTTTCACTCTTCTCCATACGAGCGCTCCCTCAAAGGGCTTCATCTGCCTCACCCCCCCTCCAGCTCCAGCCCCCTCCCTGACATGCTCAGGTCCTCGCAGGCCTCCAGCGGCCAGCCTTCCATCTTGTATCTGGATGCAGGCCTGTCAGTCACTAGTCAAGCCCCCCATGGCCTTAACTGGGGAGGAGAGGAAGCAGATCGGGGGGGAGGACGAGGAAGAAGAAAACCAACCAATGGAGGATTGTTGTGCTGCTTCCTTTGAGATCAAACTTTTACATGACTTGGTGGGCCTCATTTCAAAACAGACCAACCGTGCTTATAGTTCCTCTGCCCCCTCCTCGCCAATTCGAGTCATATTAAATCAAAAAGTCTCAAAAATGCTTCTTAGGTCTGGTCTGTGCACAACTGCACTGAAAAAACTGATCATTGACTTGAATTAAATGTTTTATGTTAACAGGCTTCACATAACTGTATTAGGTTAGCTAAAGCAATAATATCCAGCTTAAATAAAATATATTGGGTTCAACTTCATATGATTGCTTTAAACTAACCTAATACAGTTATGTGAAATCTGTTGACATAAGACATTTAATTAAAGTCAATGTTTCAGTTTTTGGAGGATGAGGGATAAGACCCAAACAAACTGGGATGTCAGAAAGCTGGATGAGGGGGGGTCTAAAGATGGACTGGGGGGTGAAGAGGAGCAATCTGAGCACTTCAGATCGGGGTGGAGGAAAGGGGCCAGCAGTGTAGATAAAGATCCTACTGTGTTACATGTGTGTTTGGGATGCTCCAGTGTCAGGCTTCACATGGTATGTGTATGTACACTATGTGTGTGTGTGTGTGTGTGTGTGTGTGTGTGTGTGTGTGTGTGTGTGTGTGTGTGTGTGTGTGTGTGTGTGTGTGTGTGTGTGTGTGTGTGTGTGTGTGTGTGTGTGTGTGTGTGTGTGTGTGTGTGTGTGTGTGTGTGTGTGTGTGCGCGCGCGTGCGTGCGTGTGTGAGAGTGAGAAAGCGTGACAGCTCAGTGTAGAGGGCTGACTGAGACACTGCTATGTGTGTGTATGTGTGTGTTGAAATGTTTACAGTCTAGATGTTCCCTGTGTGTGCGACTGGCAGTCCTCCCTTTACTTTGCTGATGTTTACAGCTACAGAGAAGCGACATGACATATTGTAAATTACGCGCCTAACCTCTCGGTTCTTTCTTTTTACATCTGCCAGGTTTTTCATGTGATCATGATTGGTCATTTTCTCATGAGAGTTTGAGAGTGTGTGTGTGTCTCTGTGCATAATGATTGTTGTGCATGTGTGTGTGTGTGTGTGTGTGTGTGTGTGTGTGTGTGTGTGTGTGTGTATGTGTGTGTGTGTGTGTGTGTGTGTGTGTGTGTGTGTGTGTGTGTGTGTGTGTGTGATTCTAAAGGCGCCTTTTGGTCTCTGCTACTGTCGGTTCCCCACGTTGTGTTTCTGCTAGAGTCGGTCTGGCTGACAGCGCCTGGAGACGCCTCTCAGACCCCCAAGAGGATTTTGTAGTCCCGCTGTGGATCCACTGGACTGGGCTTATTTATTCATTTGTTATTTAACAATATTTGTTTAATATTCCAATCATGTGAGGTGTTACCCACTCTTCAGAATGCCAAGAGCTGATGTATGAAGACTTCTACAAATGAACATACAAACAAACTGCATTTACAAAGCTACTGTAAACAAATGGTGGAATAAATTGTGCTAGATGAGAGACTCCATTTTTATTCATGTTCCCTCTGTGACCCAGATACACTTCATACAAAGTGAGCAGCAATGGGCTTTCCACCAAGCGCAGGGGTGGAAGAAGTATTCAGATGCTTTACTTGAATAAAAGTACCAATATGTTATTGTCAAAATACTTATTACAACTAAAAGTGCTGCACTCAAAATCTTACTTAAGTACAGTACTTGAGTAATTGTACTTAGTTACTTCCCACCTCTTCTCAAGCATAGTGTGGGCCTACAGTATAGAGACAATATTTGAGTATACCTGTAAATAATGGGACATAGTCTTGCCCCTGAATCATGTGCCACTCTTACACCACTCAGAAATGTCCAACACAATGCAGCAGTTATTCTGGGATTGAATGTGATGTCTCTTCTTTCTGTAACCAGGCTGTGTAATACAATCTCATTGGATTCTTTAACGACATTTCCCAGAATAGCTGTCCTCTTCAAACAGTATAGTGGTGCAGCAATAAGTTCTAAAATCCGTAAAAGAGTTAGAAATGTACAACTTCCAGGTTCCCTTTTCTCTACGTTTTTGAAAATGTTTGGTTAGATGCCTGAAACGTTCACTTTTCAAAAAGAAGATATTCAACATTCCAAAGAATACAATATTTTCAACTTGAATTGAATCAATTTATTTGAAATGTGGGCTTATTAACACATGAATACTGTGTAATATATTGTTACATATATATTTAAGAAGTACAATATAAGACAAGCACAAGTTTCATGTGTGGGCCATATTCCATTATACTTTTAAAATGTGCTGCAGGCCAATTAAAAATGGACCACAGGCTGCAGTTGGCCCCTGGGCCGTAGTTTGGACACCCCTGGCTTAGGTGCTGTTTACACGAGAACGCAAACGGGTGTATCCGCCACTTTTCTCTTTCGTATAGCCCGTTCGTTCACACGAGGCCGTAACGGAACCGCGGAAACGGACCCCGCAAACGAGTCCCAAGGTGGATAGATCTGCAAACGGAACGCTCTGGGGGGGCAAAGGGCTCCGTGTGTACGTCCTATACGATCATTTCCTGATAACGATGAAGCCATAGCCCCGCCTCTCCCCACTTCTGCTGCTCACTGCTGTAGCATGGTCAGTAGCTCCTGTCAGCAGCTACTGCTAGTGCTACTGCTACTGACCATGCTACAGATGTTAGTGCAAAATCTACAGCTCCTCTACCACAACCATCAGCAACAAGTGGACATGGAGAATTACATGAACTACATGAACTACATGTTGCTAAATCCACCGCGGGGCATAAACAGAAGGGCAACCATGCTCGGGGGTCTTCTTTGCAGCTTTTGGTGTATTTTGTGGCGCCACTTACAGGCCCGGCATATGTACTACAGCGTCTCCAGCGCTTTCGAGCGGTCTCGTGTGAACGGAATACTTTTTTCATATCGTATTCGGTTCGTTTGCGTTTCGTATGCGTTTGCGTTTCAGACCAATTCTTAAATGTTGACAGGAAATCACCGATCAGATCGGAGATCTCCCTCACAGCTCCATAGCAGTTAGGACTATTCCTCATTGATATCAACAGCCACATGACACATTTTATTGGCAGTACAATATGAGGAATCCAGACTTGGCTACCCTTGGAAGAGTGTGTATGTATGTACCCGTGTGGAAAAAGGTTTGTCTGGCAGCCATCTGCCTTATATTCCGTTTTTATAAATCCATCTATCATTGTGATTCATGAGGAATACCTTTGCACTTAAACGGTTATGTGTGCTGAAGGCATCACCCCGTACTTATATCCCTTTGTTTCATTACTCTATAGTGACTTTCATAGAGGTTATTAATACCAGGAAATGAAATGTAACACCATTGAATGCAGTCATTCCCCCAAGGGGCCTCTGTGCTGCTCTGAAGCTGACAGGAAAGCTGCCTTAGATGTGATAGGGTAACCATTACTCAAAACGGCTGCTCTGCATTCAAAATATACTACACTGAAAAATACAGAAACGTTGATTTAATTTGATGTATTATGTCAACAGATAAAATATTTAATATTCAATATTCAACTTAATAATATTGCTTTCAACTAACCTAATAGAGTTATGTGAAATGCATTGACATACTGTAATACATTTAATTAAAGTCAACGTTTCAGTTTTTTCATTGTAATAAGGATTTTAAATTCATGTAAAAGATGGATGACAAAGTTAAAGCAGTCCATTGTTGGGACCTCTACCACGAGAGCCTTCGTTGAGGAGTAATAGTGGTGCAGGATTGAGTCTTAAAACCAGGAAATGAGTCAGCATTTTACCACATCTGTTCCCTGGTCTCAAAGTCAATCTTTTTTTGTGTGTGCTTTTGGTTAGATGCCTGTATAGCTAACAAAAGCTTAAGACCTACAAAATTATGTTATCACTGCACTACTTTATTATGCGGCATTTTAGGGTCCGTTTTGCACCACTCCATACTAATTGTCTCACAGATAGCATCATGCAAATAAAGGGACATATATTTTAGTGGAGATATTCAAAACTGAGGGAGACTCCCATAAAGCACAGAGTGATGCTAACGATGCTCTTAGTCTGATGAATGTCTCATGAAACTGTTTGCTAACAAGTTAGTGATAAAAATGTCAATGAAATGTCAATGTGATGGTCTGTAGCTCATTCGGCCATTACAGTTGATGAATGCAGTTGAAATACTTTCATTCAGAAAACATTAGAAAGTATTATGAAGTACTTCAAAGCTGCATCATACACTGTTAATAAAGTTTTTGTGTCAGGGCATTGTCTTACACACAGTGTGGTGAATTGGTGTCATCTCCTATCAGTTCTTCATGGAGTATTTCTGGTTTAGTAAACATGGACCTCCTCTGTGATTTAACCGTATAGAAAATGTTAGGGAATTGAACCTCCTGTTTTGTTAAATAGCTGTCCCTTCTGCTATTTGAAGCTGCCATCATGTGATAGAGCTTTAGTGGCATTTCAATGTGCTGTGAAATAGTTTGAGGTGGAAAGTGTAATCCCTTATTACATCACATCTTATATTAAAACACTACAAGTCTGTTAGTGCTGAGACCATTTATGTTCAAAAGTGAAAATCAAGTCAAAGTGAAAATCAAGTCTTGCTAAGGCCAGAGAGAGGGTGGTGTTCATTTCAGCAAGGATTGCGATAAACCATTATATAATGGTGCATAACATTAGGCCGTAAGAAGCTAAATAATAATGGTAACTGCGCACCTCATTTCCTATTTGTGTAACTCACAGGTTGCTGTGCATCATGCCCCACAGCTAATGGAGGGGGATGATCTGTTTGAGAAATGATGTGTTCTTTAGTCTGTTTAGTTTGCGAAGTGAAAATATCGAATGAGTCTCTCAGTTTGCTGCTGCAGGCGACAGTCGGCTCACTGTGCTGTCTGCCAGCTCACTCAGCTCACATACAGCCAACAACACAGTACCTTCATTTATGATTTTACTTAATTAGACTTGTTTTACCTTCCAAGGTCGTAAATGGTCGCCTGCTTGGGGGCCCCGACTAATATGTCTGCTGACTATGATGTACAATCTGTGGGACTGAGTAATAATAATGACATAAATATTAATCGCAAATATTAAAAGTGACACGGAAAAGATGACTGGCCTGTTCTCGCTCTAGTCTAAACTTTTAAAGTTATAGTAGCTTAACAGATTGAGAAAATACAAAATGGTATTATGGGCTGGCTGTCATTTTTCATTCATCAACTGTAAAATATGACCGGGACAGAGAACTAGAGCACATTCCTTTTACATTGTAAATGAATGGACATAATGGTGGACTTTCTAGAGCTTTTTTGAAGTCCTCCTCATTTCTATCATATATCCTATGTGTGAAGGAAGAGGGCTTTAGATTTTAAGTGGTAATGATATGACCTCTTATGGCTGAATTCGTAATTGCACCTGACTTTTTTTACTTTTTTACTTTTTAAGATTATAAATTTGAATTCACAACCTAACCTAGCACTTTTTTTATTATAAGGACTATTTTTCCTTGTTTGATTTATTTCACTGTTGGAAACAATTGTAGGGGTGTCATTTGTATTTAATGCAATATATTTACAGTCAAAACCGCTATAATAAAATGTATATGAAAAGAAAACACTCTTAGAATAAGAAGCAAAAAATACTTAATATAGGAATTGACTAAATATATTTTAACTCAGTTCGAGTCAGATTGAATCGATTAGAAATAAAGCATTCAGGCAACTCAAACAAATCCATTCTCAGGAAGCTTTGAATCAGTATAAAAGGGCCCAGGCTATAGTAAGGAGAACAATAAGAACGCAAAAACACACTTTTTGGAGGCAATATTGCAATAGTATTGGAAGAGAAGTACAGCTTGCAGATGTTTGGGGCATGATTAGGAGAATGGGGGGAATTCAAAGGAATTATGAGTTGCCAGTTTTGAGCAGAGGGGACAAAATGGCTGTCACAAACTTAGGAAAGGCAGAACTCCTCGCTCAAACATTTAGGAAAGTTCATAGTTCAGATAACCTTACAGAGGAAGCCAGGCAGTGCAGAAATAATACACTAATGGAAAACCCGAGAATATTGGATAGAGTAGAAGTGTTAGGGGATCAGTTGGACCTGCATTTTAGTATGTTTGAGTTGAGAAGAGCAATTATTAGTGCTCGTCAAACCACTCCTGGGAAAGATGGTGTTTGTTACAAAATGTTGGAACACATGACAGATAACTCTCTAATCATTGTGTTAAGATTGTTTAACGGTGTGGGAACTTCCTTCAGTGTTCCTTCACTGCTGGACTTCGAATCAGGGGGTAGCAAGTTCGAGTCCCACTGCAGTCAATGTCGTTGTGTCCCTGGGCAAGACACTTCACCCCAAATTGCTCCTGTGGGGATTGTCCACAGTACTGAATGTATGTAAGTCGCTTTGGATAAAAGCATCTAACAAATGACATGTAATGTGTGGAAACAAGCGATAATAGTGCTCATCCTAAAGCCAGGGAAAGACCCTTCAGATCCATCCAGCTACAGACCTATTGCCCTGACATCTCATTTATGCAAAATCATGGAAAGAATGGTTACAGAAAGGTTAACGTATATCTTAGAAAGTAAAGCTTTGATATTGAAAAGGCTTATGACATGCTCAGGAAGGAAGGACTACTAATCAAGTTAAAATCATTGGGAATTGGTGGTAAAGCATATAATTGGGTTATGAATTTTTTACTGGACAGGAAAATACAAGTAAGAGTAGGTGCAGAATATTCAAGTGTTTATGCTGTGGAAAATGGTACTCCGCAAGGTAGTATATGTAGTCCGTTGCTATTCAATATAATGATACATGACATTTTTACTCAAGTTCATCCAAGTGTGGGAAAATCTTTGTATGCAGGTGATGGGGCTTTGTGGGCAAAAGGCCGCAATGTAGCACATGGTGGAAAGAAAATACAAGCTGCAATAGTTGAAGTGGAAAAATTGACAAATAAATGGGGATTCAAACTGTCAGTAGCTAAGACGCAAGTCATTTGTTTTACAAAACGGCATAACATTGCTCCTATATCGTTAAAATTGTATGAGCAACCTCTTGAACAGGCAAATACAATAAGATTTCTTGGTGTTTGGTTTGACGGAAAGCTAACATGGAGCAATCATATAGGAAAAGTTCAAAATAAATGTAAAAAGGTCAACAATGTACTTCGGTGTTTGGCGGGACAGGAGCGAGGAGCGAGTAGGTCATCACTACAGAACATATATTGGGCACTCATGAGGCCTGTATTAGATTATGGGCAGAGCCGGCCCGACCCATTAAGCGACATAAGCGGCCACTTAGGGCCCCGCAGCCACTAGGGGCCCCCTAGCAAAAATAAACAATTTGTCATACAATCTAAATGTAATGTTTTTTAGCGTTACCTGGTGATTTCAAAGAAAGCTCTCTGGGAAATGTTGACTTACTGTTCGACATGAAGCTAGAAGCTACCTTACAGTACACAGTTGATCCTGAGTCCTGTCAGTTAAAGTGTTTCATAGTTAGTTTAGCTAAGCATCAACCTAGCACTGAAATATATGGATGTTATGTGACAGTATTTCTGAGAAAAAGTCAGCTGAAATGGTGGCATAGTTGCCACTGCTTTACGTGTCGACAGCATGTTTGAACATATTTGCAGCAGTAAATGTGGCTGTTTGGCCACTGTTGTTGCCATAACAACACCTGAATGTAAATGTGCAACCTCTTTTTGTGACAGATTTTTGCATGAAATTATAATTCTTCTGAATGATATTCCTATTGACAGCTAGTTTCTATGTGAACATTATGAGATGGACAGCCAGAGAGAATAAATGAAAAACAGTTATGAAATACTATATGACAAAACAAGAATACAGTTTAAAAGGGGAGTGATTTGTAAAATATCCATAAAGAAACATCTGTTTACAGTTCTGTTTCATATGGGTGTTGAGAGATGTATCCATAGATCTCTTAATTTTGCTCTCAAAGTGCACCAGATTGATGCTTTTAACTTCAATATTTAAAAAAAAATCTTCCCGGGGGAGCATGCGGCCGGACCCCCCTAGAGGAGGTTAGGTCCCTCCTAGAGGAGGTTAGGTCCACGGTGTTTACACGCTTATTTATACAATATGTGTGCTTATGCTAACATCATAAGACAAAAGTTGGTTCCGTGTTGTGTGTAGTGAGAACGCGCTAGAGTGAGGGGGGCCCCCAAGCCAAAGCTTGCTTAGGGCCCCCAAAAGTCTAGGGCCGGCCCTGATTATGGGTGTATAGCGTTCATGGCAGAAGCAGAATCAAACCTTAAAAAGCTGGATGTCCTACAAGCTCAGGCCCTGAGAATATGTAGTGGAGCTTTTAAAACATCTCCAGTATCAGCAATACAGGTGGAAATGGGAGAAATGCCTTTAAGAATAAGAAGAGTGAAGTTAATGTTGGCATACTGCGTAACCCTTCAGGGGCATTGTGATAATCATCCTGCGAAAAGTATTTTGAAAGACTGCTGGGAGCACAATGAGTCACATTTAACAAGTTTTGGATGGATTGGTGATGTTAAAGCATGCAAGTATAGGTTTGAATCAAATACAGTATTGCCCCACAGTTCCAATCTCGTCCATTCCACCCTGGTTATTCCCATTGCCAAGGGTAGACCTCAATACACAAAAAGAGTTGAAGGAAAAGAAAGAACTACTACCAGTATGGCGTATAGTCCAGAATTATTTTTGCAAGATATCACTCAGACTCAACAATCATATTTACAGATGGCTCCAAAGATCCAGAGACAGGGCGTGCAGGGGCAGCAGTTTATATCCCAGTGAGTAATACACATATAAAGACAAGGGTAACAGACCATGTGTCAGTATACACCACAGAGTTGTTGGCATTGGTATTGTCATTGAAATGGATAGAGGAGAAAGAAATACGTAACAGTATAATTGCATCTGACAGCTTTTCAGCATTATCGAGTATATGATCAGGCAGATCTTCATTTAGAATGGATATAATAAATGAAATATTTCTTATGTTATATAAAATGCAAATCAAAGGCATAGCAACTCGTTTCATCTGGGTTCCTGCTCATGTAGGTGTGGAGGGTAATGAACAGGTGGATATTCTGGCCAAACAAACACTCAGAATTAGGAACACAGACATAGAAGTTCCACTAGGCAAATCGGAGGTTAAAACATTCATACAGAAATATGCACAAACAACATGGCAAGAACATTGGGACATTAATGATACAGGAAGACATCTTTATAAAATGCTAAGGTATGTGGGGGACTGAAGGAAGGTGGGGTTTAAAAGAAGGGAAGAAAATGTAATTTCTCTGATGAGAATGGGTCATACAGGTCTCAATCATACGTATAATAGGAAAGCATCCAACTGGAAAGTGTATACACTGTAGCCAGCCAGAAACTGTTGAACATGTTTTACTGCATTGCAGGAAATATAGTACTCAGAGAAATGGGCTTTTCCAGACACTCAAGAAAGCAAAATACCATGACTTTTCGCTATCAGGGCTGTTAGGGAAAACATCAGGCAATATGTATTGTGAGATTATTACGTTTCTAAGATAAATTGATACATTTAAAATAATTTAGACTAGAGTTTTGGTTCTTTTATTTTATTTAATTTTATTTATTTTGTTTATTGTTTTCTGCATAGTCTCTTGTCCACACTCCAGTCCAGTTGGTGGCGGTAATGCACCTGCAAGTTGGTTTGCCAACCGCCAATAAACACCGAAGAAGAAGAAGAAGAAGAAGAAGAAGAAGAAGAAGAAGAAGAAGAAGAAGAAGAAGAAGAAGAAGAAGAAGAAGAAGAAGAAGAAGATTGAATCGATTGCTCTCGTCTGGCTGTCACAGCGTCGTTCTCTGATTGGTCAACATTCCATGGCGCCAAAACAGCGAAGAGGAAGAGTTGAAAACACAACAGGAAAGACCTCTGCTCAATATTTTGATTATATCATTTGGCATAAAGATACTTTTGGCCTAATTTGAGCACAAAATGGACACGCAGTCATATTTACCAGTAAAACCTGGGGTGGGGATGGAGGAGAACTTTTTGTCTCTCGACGATATTTTGCTCTCACATGAGAGACTTCCTATCCGGACAGAGTGCAGCTTCCCCCGGCTGGGATTCCTGGAGAAGTCGAGTGACTCGCACGACATACCGGAGGTGAGTAAAGCTCTGAGGAAAATGTCGCCCTGATCGTTTTAATGTTCATTGTATTCAAGGTATAATACTTTTAATACTTTTTTAATACTACTTGTACTTAAGTACAAGATCTGAGTACTTCTTCCACCTCTGTAAATAATGTAATGCCTTTAAAGCAGGCATGACTGTCATTACACACGTCCCATGGTTACACTGACAATAAACAACAACAATCAATAGCGAGGACACAAATCAGGAAACTAAGATAGAAAAAGCTAAAACTTGAAATGAAAACTAATAACGCTTCACGTCATTGTCATTACAACTTTAGTGGTTACATCACAGTTCATCGAGGATACTGCAACTTCCTAATACTGAGCATCCAGCGGTGACATTACAAATAATTGAGCATAATGAAATGTGTTTGGTGGTCCTTATCTGTTGGCTGAACTGATTCAGAACACTTTACACTACAGAGGAGGCCCCCTTCATAAGGCTGGTCATTATATATATATTATATTGGTACCAGGATATGAGATTAGATATCGTTAAGTGTCTTTTCCTGGTTTTAAAGTCGGCATCACAACAAAGTGATGGTCTTTAATATTGCTTGCTTGCCACTCATTCTAATATTTACATTTCTTTATCGCCCAGCCCTTTTCACATATTATGGAAGTTTAATTCTACTAACTTTGAGTTAATGAGAAATACTTTATGTAATTATACAACCGTTAGCCTAACCTAATGAAACAAACGTAACCTATGCAGCTGGACCCCAGGGAGAAGGGGTCTTCACAATGACTCCCCCCTCTGAGGACTCTTTCTGATGTCTCAGGGTACAAAGATGGAGCTTCCTCTGTGGCTGTCGAAGGGTCTGTACGAGAAGAAGAGGAGGGTGCTGTCCGTGGAGCTGCCCAAGGTGTACAGAGAGGGCTGGAGGACCGTGTTCAACGCTGACCCCAACGTGGTGGATCTGCACAAGATGGGGCCCTACTACTACGGCCTGGGCTCCCAGATGCTGCACTTTGACAGCCCAGAGAATCCTGAGATCGCACAGACGCTGCTGCAGGTGAAACACACACACACACACGCACACGCACACACACACATTATGCACGCTTTAACAGCTCCCAACATCTCTTAGGCCCTTTGTCCACAGTGTGTTTTTTAGTTTCCCCCCAGTGTTTTACCAACACTATGGACTGTAGGTAGGTAGGTAGGTACTTACTTACTTACTTTTTTATTGTACTGCGTACCACATGACAACAACTTGAGCACTATTTGTAAATGTAAACAAATCCCCCCGTCCCTGAAACTGCAGAATGCACATTTAAAGACTTTTCTTGTTTTATTGACCTTCAAACAAAGGTTCACACAGAATAAAGAAAATAAAGTGCAACATAATATAAACCTTGCTTCAAGCCAAGGTACACAAAGTATTCATACTAATAAAAGTGTACAACTTGCATTATTACTAACCTTTGTTACCTAAACAGAAGTCAAACAAATATAAAAGGTGTGATACTTGCATTAAATGAACCCGTGCTTCAAGCCAAGGTACACTACACAGACGATATGCAAGTATCGAAACAAATAAAACAAGTGCAACTTGTAGCTAAAAGCTCGATTGCCCTTTGCCACGTCAACCATTTTCTCACCCGTTTTGTATATGTCAAATTCATATAATAGGGTAAAGAAAAACCCTGTATTCGGTATGAAGCGGTATACCGCCCAGCACTACTACTTAATATTATTTTGTTATGCTTTGTATGAATGAGCTTCATTGCTCAGTCTGACAGCCGTAGAGAAAGGAGGACAATGCGCTTACAGAGATAAGTCACTCACTCACCGGCAGAAACATCCAGGGTCCGTCCGGCCAATCCGCTTAAAGCAATTCACTTCTCTGTGTTTGTTATTATAGAAACGGCCAAAACAAGCTTCTTATCCAATTTCCACAGGAACTTCACCAGCTCTTTTCTGAAAAGTAAGTAAGTGAAACTTGAATGAAAGGCAGGGACATTATTTGGTAATGGTGGAACACTGGCCGATATCATGTTCATGCATCGATAAACAAACGATATGCTGTAGGCAGACGGACAGACCTACTGTTTAATTGTGTTTTATTACACATGAAGTCAATTGAAACAAGAAAGTGGTCACAGCTGCATCAACAGGAACAATGTGCTACATAGAAAGTGAGAGCACATTTGGTTAATCTTCCTTTCTTTTTTTTCCTGAGAGATAACATGCTTTACAAACTTGCAACACCCAACACCCTTTTTTCAGTTTCTCATTCACTTTATGATAACATGTCATATAAATAAATATTGCATTGTACAGCAGGGAAGATGTTTTGCAAAAGAATATCATATATTAAAAGACACAAGTCAGATTCCTAACTGAACAGCCAGTGTCATTTCAAACATCACAGCTAGAGGGAGCAATCGGATCAGAAACATGGCGGACTGCTGGGTGTCTGCTGCAGCTGTTACAGGCAGATGTTCTCTAATCTCACACACACTATAAGACTTCTCCCAACAAGGTTATTACACACTTAAAGTGGAAAAGGTGTCTGCCTGGTGTTAAAAAAACAACCATTAAAGTAACCAGCTGGATATCGGATCCCCATTTCCATGTGATTTATTATGAACAAGAACCAAATCAGTAGAAACTGCAGAAACTTCTAAAACATCCAAAAAGTAATCATTCCAATCATTTGCTGGTGCAAACTATGATTTCCATTTGAATGCAGGTTTATCGACTATATGCCAGCTGTACTTGTCAAATGTTAGAACTAGCTGAACACAACTTTGATGTTTTAATATGTGAAGGAATATTTTGAGAGATGGTTTTCCCTGAAGGCGAGTAACCTGAAGTTATACCTATCTGAAGTTTTACATATCAAAGGTTTTCCAAACTAGGTCAGTCAGAAAAGCGCCAGCAGGCCTCATGTACCTTCATTAACTCATCGCGATCACTTTCACTGGTACTGCAACTTGCATTGGAGACATTGATCATCTTTGCATCATTACTTTCATGAAATCTAATACTCCCTCAGTACCCTGTATGTGTGTGTGTGTTTCCTCCCTCTAACTTGTGTGTGTCCTTGCCTTTGGTCCAGACGTTCATCGGGCGCTTCAGGCGGAACATGGACTCGTCTCAGAACGCGTACAACGAGGACACGTCGGCGCTGGTGGAGCGTCTGGACTGCCTGGAGAAGGCTCTGTTCTCGTCGGGGCAGAGTGGCCTCAACAGCTTCCAGAGCTGGGAGAAGGGCCGGGCCTCGCAGCTCACCGCCTCCAGCCTGGTGCTCAACTACCGCAAGAGGAAGATCAACGACCTGCAGCCCTGACCCGTTTCAGTCCTCTCTGGCGGCTCCTGTCATTTCCTCTCCCACAGACAATCCCCCTCCCCCATCTGACCCCTGCTCTCCAGGGTGCGACGCCCCCCCCCTGTGTAGAGTATACATTTTATTTATTTTGTCACATTGTACACATCATCTTGACCATGGCTGCACCACTTGGAAAAACTGCGATTATGACTCATCGCAAATCCTGATTTAATTAACAATATTTTTAGAGATTTAACTATTTTGCATCGTTACTCTCAATGTTATTAAAACATATTAAAATGATCAAGGTGTGATTATTTTTGTGTAGAATACTTTTTATAGGGCAGGAAATCTCTGCAGCTCCTCAATACCTCATACTACTACTAATAATACTACTAAAAATAGAATTCTAGAACATCCTGAGCCAGTGTTTCCCCTACCATTGTCTGGGGGCGCATTATTGATCATACATGGATTTAAGTGGAAAAAGCCTAACAAACATGATGAAGGGGTGACGGGGGGGTAGCTGCCTGCTGAAGTGTTCAATGTGGGTCAGAGGGTAGACAGCGAGAATACAGAGGTCACTGCTGATGTAAATATTGACCACGTCTCTGGGCTGTGTATTGATCCTGATATGGGTTTTCATGACACACAGAGGCATACACGTGTTTACTTTTAGAAACAACAATGAATATTTACCCTTGTAAGTACTGGGGATAGGTTATTGGCTTTCTTGACAGTTGCTACATTTTCAATTGAAATGAATAAAAGGTAAACAAAAAAATACAAATACTTTCAAAAGCATTAGATGTTAAAGTAAAAATGTGCAGATTATGAGTATTAAGAGTTCAACCTTGAATCATTTTGACATACATTTATACCAAACATGTGTTAACAGTTGACCTCTGAGCGAGTGCAGAGCTCCCTGCTGCTTCTGGTGGCCGACAGGTGCAAACGCACTACAACAACCCAAAGCTTCAGAAAACGATGCAAATATAAAAACACATGCAATTACCGAACATCTAAACCAACTTGATAACACATTCGCAGTGTTTACAAACAAATTAAAAAGGGATTCAAACGGCTGGGGCCGAGACCGGAGCGCTGTCCCTGTTTCCTTTTCCTGGAGAATATTGGCTTGGAAATCACTCAAATTAGAAGCGTGGCTGCTTCTGGAACGTCCACTAGTATGAGAGCATGGAGGGAAACTTGAAGCCGACCTGCTGCAGTGTTTCCTCTTACAATGTGAACCATGAGAGCCTTGGGATCTTGATGCTGCCTTCTGCTGTGGTATTTCAAAACCATAGTAATTGGGGGGCCGTCTATGTCTTTTGGTTCCAGCCACTAAGTCAGGGGTACTCAAACTTTTTTATTAAAGGTCCATTTGTGAACTTTATACAAGGTCGGGCTCAATGCCAGTAAAGTCGTCGTTCCCCCCCCCCCCCCGGAGCGGAGCAACGAAACTGAAATTAAGAAGCAGTTTCTTACGGCGCGCTATGCATGGGGCCCCTTGAGGGGGTTTCCCGACATGTCGTTGCAGTAAATTAAAGGGTGTTTCACACACACATTCAATACATACATACAGTATGATGGCTTGAACTAGTGGGAGAAATGGCACTGTTTGTCTGTAGTCAATGCCTTGAACCTCGGCAAAAAAGGTATTAGAAGCATTAGAAAGTCAAGGTAAACTTGCGGTTAACTTGCGGTCTGCAATACGTGTCACGCTCGCGCACACAAGTAAATATATATGCACGTTCATTCTCACAACGCGTCAGACACAAGAAAATATACATTAATTTACATCAGAATCAGAATTTTTTAATTTTGTATAATTTACATTTTTTTATAATGGGACACAGGGTTCGGTCCGGATTGATTTGCAGTTCGGTCCAGATCCAGACCTTGGTCCGAAGTTTTAGAAGCCCTGTCCTAAGTCATAACTAATTGGCTTTGGGGGTTTGGCTAATACTTCCAGAGATAATAGGCGCGTTCACACCGGAGTACTTTTCCCACAATAGTTCATCAGAACTACGATATATTTGCGTTCACACCAAAAAGCCCCAGGAACTAAAGTAGTTCAAATTAGTTCATCTGACCCGCTTTTCAGTCCCTGCTAGAGAGCAGGGACTGTTGTGGGAGAAAATAGTTCATACGTCTGATTGGCTGTGCGGAATGCAAACAACGCCCGTTTGACTCTGAATTTTTTTTTGTAAGCGGCCATTGTATTTGCTCGCTTCAGCCAGCGCACCTGAAGAGATTACTTTTGTGAAAGCAGTTATTATAGCAACACTAAATAAATCATTGGAGCGGTGGAGTGATGAGGATGTGTCGGCGCTTCTGGCGATTTACTCGGAGGACGCGAAGCGCCACATTCAGAAGCTTTCTACTGAATGCAGTTTCCGTGGCTCAGCAAAGTTAGCAGACCTGGCAAAGTCATGTCGGGACGACTACGAAGGTAAAATAAAATACAGGCACTGCACTGTTTTAATCTGCACAATACTGGTCTTAGATGTACTTTTATTTGCTCAGTAGATTGAGCTAGCCATGCTAGAACTTGCTATCATAGCTCCAAGCTGGCTAACAACATCTAGCTAGCTAGCTATTCTCAGCCGTGCCCGCTATGAACATGTTTTGACTTGTGGAGAAGTGTGCAATGTTCTGTAATTTGCTTCACTAACTCATGGCACTAATCGTGTGTTTCAGGCGAGGTGTTTCTCTCTGGATTAGAAACTAGTTTTCCCCTCCGGGATAAAACGATAATATAACGTTAGCAATTAGCATGCTAGCTGGACATAATGCTACCTCTAACAATACATTGTAGTTGCTATAATTTCAAGTCATTTGCAACATTCATTCTACATGTTAATGGTAAAAGCTTAAACAGTTGATTACCTGCATGCCACAAAGACTGATGTTCTAATATTTTTGCACATTTAAGTAGAAATGTAATTGAAATTCTATTTATTTTTCCTTTTTTTTATTGATTGTTATAATTGTACTCAGCCATGTTATGTTAGATGTCAATCCACTTACACTGTAACTACTCTGGCCTTGAAAGAAGGTTACACATCTAACTGATGTCCACTAATCCCTATAAAACAAAGTTCAAGCATACATTAAGCACAAAACAATAAATAAGGGCACTTTGATATTTATTTTTTATTTGATATTATTTGATCCTATCTTATCTTCTACTTTACACCTGCATTTTGTACACTGTCCCTGCCTGCACCATGTCCAATGTTGGACAATGTTGTCTCGTCATTGCGATTAAACTGATCTTGTATCTTGCTTATATCACCTTAGGAAAGCAGGCACGGGATGACAGCTTCCTTGACACCATCATGGCGATGGACCGCCGTGCCATGGTCAGCAAGGAGAATGAGGACCTGCGTGCCAAGGAGATGCACGACGAACGGCTGCTACATTCACACAAGGCCCAGGAATCGGACGACCAGCTGCTCATGGTGATGCAGCGCCATGCTGACTCGGCGGCGCGCCAGGTGGAGGTGTCGGCGCGCCAGGTGGAGCAACAAAATACCTTTCAGGCTGGGCTTCTGGCAGTGCAAAGCGAGTTGATTAAATCCAACAGGCCTTCAATAAAAAAATATGTAGTGAGTTTCAGAGCAGTGTAATAATTATTTGACCTAAAACTAAATGTTTTTATGAACATGACATCGGGATTTGCTAACTTTTGATTTCCCCCATTTTACACGACACAAATGGAGGCCACTATGGGCCAAAACTAACACGTAGGTTTCTGTAGGGTTCATGGCAGACGGATGCAGTTGCTCTCAGGAGGATATATAATAAAGGTGTGTTAACTGCTGAGCCTATTTACTGTGCATACGACACACCTGGCACAGTTTATTAATTTCACACGTAGCATAGCGCGTGCATGTCGTCGTCCAATCCTTTTGTCAATCCTTCTTAACCGCCTTCGCTTCCGAATCAGCATTGCTATTGCATTTGACTGGTCGACGATCTGTATTTGTGTTTGCTTAAATAACTCAGACGAAGCTCATGTCTGAGGTCGGAAGGTAAACAGACGCCTCATTTACAGCAAGTGGGTGCGGGAGGTTTTTCTTCTTCTTTTTCTCTCGGTTTTTTGGCGGATTGCAACTTTAAGGTGCATACCGCCAGCTACTGTACTCGCCCTGAAGTTGTTTGCGGCCTGCCAGTAAACCCAAAGCAGAAGAAGAAGAAGTGACGTCAGCGGCTTCATTTGCCTAATCCACCCCCAGGAACTCATTTTGGTGTGAACGCGATCTGCTTTAGTTCATCAGAACTAAAAGAGCTCTCATGAACTTAAGTTCTCATGAACTATTGTGGGAAAAGTACTTGGTGTGAACGCGCCTAATGATGACAGAATGTAGTGCTCTCGATGAGAATTGGCAATATAGGTTCAGGTGAAATGCTAGGCTCTGTTTGAGGAGGTGTGGATGGCCTAGGGGATGTTGGAGACAATCCCTGGTTAGCCTCGTCTAAGTAGAGCTGGGTTTAGTCAGTAACTAAAAAAATAAAAATAAATAAACATTGATAACTCCTTGGGAGTCATCCAGGTTCTCAGTAAAAGGAACCTGACCTCCATTGTTGGGTCTGCACGCCATCAGTCGCTGAATCAGCCATAGTGTGGCTCAGTCTCCGGCTCGAAGGACCATTTTGTTGGGGATGAAGTGTTCAAACTGGAGCCACAGACCACCAGGAGACAAGAGTTGCAATTTTCCTTGCGTAATTTTTCCGGATAATTCAGTTGTCAAGATGGTTGCTTTTGCCAACGGTTCTAGTAAAAAGTTGAAAACAAACTAATTACAGCATTTGCACATTTAAATAATACTTATATTCAGGGTTCGAGTTATGTGGGAGCCAATGGGAGCTGAGCTCCCATAAGGAGGGGACTGAGCTCCCACGGACGCAGTGAAATCATACATCTGTGGGGGTCGCTAATACATTACCAACAACCATTATTTTAATCACAAATAATGCATGTGTCAATGTAATGAGTATTATTTACGTTAACGAGGTAAATAGGCTAAAAGAAAAACATGTTTTCCAAAAGAACAACGCATCTCTTGAATGACAATATGCCTGCACTGCAATACATTATTGCGCAATCTGTGCCTGTGAGCGTGCTGCGCGAGCCGAGATGATGTGTGTGTGCGTAGTCGAACCTTTTCATATTTAAGTTTGTAGCAAGTAGAGGCCTGCTTCTGCTTCTGCTGTGTGTGTGTGTGTGTGTGTGTGTGTGTGTGCGCGTTAGTTTTAAAGACCCCCATAGAGCTCAGTTTATAACTCGAACCCTG